GAGTCGTTTCCGACCCATAGCGACCCTGTACAGGGTTTCCGAGGCTGTAAATCTTTACGGGAGGAGACTGCCTCATCTTTCTCCCGCGGAACAGCTGGTAGTTTCGAACAGCTGGCCCTAAGGTTCGCAGCCCGATTCGTAACCACTACGCCAGATTAAATACATATAGATATGTCAGGTATGTAAAAAATCAACAAGGTGATCCTTAAATTAACGTTAGTTTTGGACATTTGATCTAACTGCACAATCTCAAAGGGATCCATCTCTCACTGATGCTGTTGGATGTACCTGTGTTTTGGGTAGTATGTCTCTCAGATTAGGAGTCTCTACAGAAGTCTGTTAATGCCAATAAAATCCCTCTAGAATATCTGGAAAACTTGAGCTTTGCCCTGAGACTAATTATATGATTATTGTCACTGACCTATTGGTATAGAGAATATTATAGCTGTTCATAATTTATTCCCAAATGTTTTAAAGACCAAAGTATTTTATTCTTTACTTCCCTAAAAAGAAATAACATCAGATGGACAATCTGTTCCTATAAAATCTTAGTCAGTGGATTCAGACTGTGAGAACTGATTTCTAATTTATTTATATGAAAGTCTTAGTATATAACATTATACAGCATTTTTGAATTCTATTTTTTGCATGTTTACCACTTTGTTTTTCTCTAAGTGAATACTTATGGAGTCACAATGGACCACAATACTCTGTGTAAATCTGAACTATTCTAAGTTTTAAAGTCCTATTGTTTTATAAGCAAATATACAGGTAAGATTATAAATGACTCTTTAAGACAAGTCTGGGATGTACAATGAAATCTATTTATAAATTAGTTTAATAATTTATTTTGTTTCTCATTCTGGAAGAGAAAGTGGATTTCCACCCAGTAATTCTGAGGCAATGCCTTCTAGGAACAACAGCAACAAAATGATTACTTAACATTGAACCCATTAGTTGAAAGTCCACATAGTACTTATTTTTAGTTGATTGCCATTTGGTGTTGTTGAAGTAATGGATATAGAGCAGTCTTTAAATAGGTTTACAAATTTCTCAAAATGTTATAAAATTCTGAAGGAATTTTTGGTGTTAGAGATGCAAAATGTGGAGGGTAAATTTACTTTATTCATTTATCACAAGCCACTAGTGATAAAACTCCAGGTAACTTAACTATATGAGTAAAAAGAAAAAACAAATCAGTATATGAGATTCCATATAAATACTGATAAGAACCAGAGAAAAACTAACAAAAACATTTTCAAACAAGGTACTTTGAATAATCACTACAGAGTCTTTAAAGCTGTTTGTTTCAAATTTGCTGAGTTCAAGGACTTTAAGCAATTTCAAAAGTTGCATTGGAATAAATGAAAGCCTATTCTATTGTTTAAAATCCATGCTTCTGGCAACTATGGTAAATACTATAACACATATAATCCTGTAATAGCAGTAATAACATCCAATTATTTGTGAGTGGATACACAGGTTGTTATGTTATCTACATAATGTTAACATATGTATGTTATCTAGGTATGGGAGGGTGTCAAGGAGTACACTTTTGTGCCTTTATAGGTGTGTTGTTAAGTACTGTTGAGTCAGTTCTAACTCAGCAACTCTTCACAGGGTTTCTGAGAGGCAGCCGGTGGATTTGAGCCACCACCCATCTTGTGATTCACAGTCCAGTGCTTATCTAACAGCACCACACCAAGTGTTGTTGTGGTTATTTGTATATAGGTATCTGTATATGCTGCATGTATATTTGTCTGAAAGCAAGTCAGGGAGGGCCATGGAAGTTGGACAACTGGAAACAGGGAACCCAGGGTGATAATGGAATAAGTGTTTACACATCGCAGGGATTTCAACCAATGTCATGGAGCAATTGGTGTATAAACTATTGAATGGGACATTAATTTTCTCTGTAAACTTTCACATAATGCACAATAAAACATTAAATTATGAATTAACTGGAAACAAAAATAAAAACAACTTGAAACATCTTTTCATATTCCTATTGGCCATTTTCTTTTGGAAAATTGAAGTAATTCTTCAAATCTTTGGCCTTTTTAAGAATGGGCTAGTAGTCATTTTTTGCTTAATTTAATTATAAATATTCTTTCTATAGTCTACATACAGATTGCTTAGCAGATCTAAGTAAGATTTGTAAATATATTCTACCATTCTGACAAAAATTATATTTCTTCTACACCTGCAATATTGCTGAAATACAATAAACATATAAGACACTTGAGTGGTTATTGAATTCCAATTAATATACAAGTGAATTAGGAATCAATAATGAGTACGAAAAACGTTCATAATTAACCAAATGGAGAAGCTCCTAGGGATTCTCCAAAAATGAGGACATTGATTCTATAGATGGTTGAGGGGCACCAGAAAGATACTTACCATGAAGAGTATGAGCCTGTGAAATGAGACTTAATCACCAAACCTCACAATATTAGACATATATTGTTTATTGTTTTGTTAAGTGCATCAAGTTGGTTCTGACCCATAGTGACCCTGTATAGAGTTTCCAAGGAGCTGCTGGTGAGCTTGAACCTCCAACCTTGTGCTTCAAACCGATTTTGCAGTCCAACACATTAACCCACAGCACCATGGAGCTACTTAAAATTAGAGAAAGGAGGCATTACGAAAAATGGATTATTAAAAATGTAATTTCTTGGCTGACTTGTCCTACCAAGATAGGAATAATATGCAAAATGTGCTGAGATAGATATAAAAATAAATGCAAATTAATTTATTAAGACACTCTCCAGGCCTTGGAGAAGAACGTCATTCTTGGTAAAGAGGGACAGTGAAAAAGGAGATGAACTGGCACAGTGGCAGCAACAATGGGCTCAAGCGTGGCAGCAATTGGGAGGATAGCATCGGACCGGGAGGTGTTTTATTCTGTTGTACACAGGGTCACTATGGGTCGGACCCGACTCGATGGCACTTAACAACAACAACAACAACACAGGGTCATTATGGGTTGGGACTGACTTGACAGCACCTAACAACAATAACAAGATGTTCTATAGTCTTACAATGTATTGAAGGTTAAAATGTCTTTCTTGTGCATATCCCTCAGTGATAATGTATGTAAATGGTTACTAGACAGAGAAAACATTTATTAAATCTATTGTGATGAGTGATATCATGGTGTGTCACTATAGGATAAGCACTGAATTGCTAACCATAAGGTCAGTAGTTCAAACCTACTGGCCACTCCTTGGAAACACTATACAGGGTCGCTGTGAGTCAGAACTGACTTGATTGTACTTAACAAGAACAGTAACATCTGTGATATGTGGAGTTGTCAAACCATGGCATGGAATTGTTTAAAGTGCAATTAGTTCCACGTATTGATCCCAATAAGTGTTTAAGACTTACTTTATTTTAAAAAACATACCATAAGAAAATTGACTTTGACCTTTGGAAATGTCAGATTCCTTATACTGACCAAAAATTTGTATATTAACATTTTTTCTGAAAATGAATAATTTATACAGAAAATGCTTTTCCATCTTTCACATTCTCAGAGGCTTTCCAGAAAATCTCTGCATGTACAACCTGTGGTACTTTTCTTCTCATATCATGTAACCTACTATGTCTGTGCTAGCTTTCAGAATGATTAAGTAGAGGTTATTTCTCTTTGTGACTGGAGACATTAGATGGGAGAAGAATACAGTCTAATTTAGAATCTCGTTTTCTACAGTTTCTGTCTCATCAGGGAAGTCAGGAATGTCTAAAGAGAATCACTCCTTGACAGTTGACTTGATCCTCATAGGATTTACAGATCATCCAGATCTGAAGACCCTTCTGTTTGTGGTTTTCTTTGCTATCTATCTTATCACCATGATGGGAAATCTTGGTTTGGTGGCATTGATTTTCATGGAGCGCCGTCTCCACACACCAATGTACATCTTTCTAGGCAACCTGGCTATGATGGATTCCTGCTGTTCCTGTGCTGTAACTCCCAAGATGTTAGAAAACTTCTTTTCTGAGGACAGAATGATTTCCCTCTATGAATGCATGGCACAATTTTATTTTCTCTGCCTTGCTGAAACTACAGACTGTTTTGTTCTGGCAGCTATGGCTTATGACCGCTATGTGGCAATATGCCGTCCATTGCAGTATCACACCATGATGTCAAAGCAACTCTGCATACAGATGGTCATAGGGGCCTACATAGCTGGGAACCTGCATTCCATGATTCATGTTACTCTTCTATTAAGGTTAACTTTCTGTGGATCTCACCAAATTAATCACTTTTTTTGTGATATTCTTCCATTATATAGAATATCCTGTACTGATCCTTTTTTAAATGAACTAATGATATACGTTTTTTCAATGCCAATTCAAATCTTCACCATTGCCACTGTCTTGATCTCTTATGTCTGTATTCTTTTCACAATTTTCAGAATGAAATCCAAAGAGGGGAGAGGTAAAGCCTTCTCTACCTGTGCATCCCACTTTGTTTCAGTCTCAATATTCTACATATGTCTTCTCATGTATATTCGACCATTTGAAGAAGGGGATAAAGATATACCAGTGGCAATTTTTTATACAATAATAATTCCTTTATTAAACCCTTTTATTTATAGCCTGAGAAATAAAGAGGTGATAAGTGTTTTCAAAAAAATTATGAGGAACTATAATATTCTTAAACAAACTTCATCCTCTAAAGCAACTTAATTTTAATCTATTAAAATTATTCCACTGAAAAAGAAAAACGTTTTAGGTAAAGTTCAAGTTTTAAATTATTAGGAAATATTCATTAAAATAAGTATGACTAGAATTTAAAAATATACCAAAAGACCTTAATCTAATATTTTGTATATATATTAACCATTTACATTTCTTCTATGAATCGTCTGTTGTTTTCCTCCTAACTTGTTTGTACCACTGTTTACAGAGAAAAGAAATTAAAATACTATGACTCTTTGTTTTAAGTAATTTCTCACTGTGCTGATAGTCTTTTAATATCTATTGGTTACATTAGTACTTGATAAACATTTCAATATCATATATGCATACTTGCTGATTTTTTTTCTAATGTTGTCTATTTTGTGTTAATTTGTTTAGAATTTCTTTCCTTAAACTGAATTCTCATATTAACCAACATTTTTTCTCGGTTTCTTCTTCAGTTTATCATTTTTCTCTCTGCCTTTCTCTCACTTTATAGTTTACATTTTTGCACTTAATTCATGATACTTTTGAAAGTTGTGTAGCAGATTTTAGTTTAAGCCATGAGGTGAAGATTTATCTTTTGTTTAACCTGTGTCTCCTCAAACTATCCAGAGTTTAGCTTAAAGAAACATCAAATGAGAGGAATCAGATGAAATGTCAACTTTTTCTAGAATTCCAGATTTTTTAAGGAAAAAATAATAACAAATGAAACAACTAATCTTTCTATATTAAATATTAAAATATATGATAAATCTCCAATGACTAAAATTTAATTTTTGATCAAGATTCAAATAAAAGGCTCAGTAGAACAGATTATACTATCCAAAAGTAAATAATTTTCAATATAAAATAAGAAGAGTATCATAAACTAAAAAATAAATGAAAACTTGCTTAATAAATTGTTCTGTGCAAACTGGTAAATTGTTTATTAATCTTTTCCATTCTTTGTGTTAAAATGTATATGCCCTCCTCATTCAGAGACTATGTAACAAACATAACATCTTTTCTTTACTTTCAAAGCATTAATTTTGTACATTACTTTAATTAAACTAGAATTAGTTTCAGAATTTTGTGAAGTGAGAATTTAAATTATATTTATTATGACTAACAAATAGTTTCAGAAGAAGTTATTAACTCATTCAGTCCTTACTCATTGATTTCACATGCCTTCTTTTTATACATATACACATATGAGATCAATTTCCTGCCTAGCTAATCTGCACAATATGAGACAGTCTGAGTTTCTACCCTTATATTCTATTAGGGAAGAGATAATATAAAAAAGTAATTAAACTATAAACTAATAAGTATTATGGCTGGAGGAGACTCTTCTACCTCTATCCAAAGTCTAAACCATAGACTTCAGTAAAACTCAGAATAAGACTTCTATTCCCTCTATTCTTTCTTTCTATGTGATTTCATATATTTTTGAAACCTTATAACATCATGTAAAAGTGACCCAGATTGATATTTTGCCTAATACTTAGACTTGTGTATCCTATTAGCTTATTTGACATTTTCATTCAAATGTCTCAAACACATCTCAAATTGAACATGTTCGAACTACAACACTTTCTTAAATTTTCCCATCACCACCATCTTCTCCAGTCTTCTTTACCTTATAACAGCATTATCCAACCAACTGGTCTAGACAAAAATGAAAAGCGATCCTCCTTCTACCTCTACCATCACATTTAAATTTTCACAAGGCCTGCCAACTCTTTCTCTGAAATCCAACTAAAAAATTCTTGTATTGGAGTTACAGTGAACTGCTCTTACAACTGCCTGGGTTTAAATTTTTTTATACATCTCATCATTAGTAATACATACTAATCCAATGTTACAACATGTAATTTACTGTTGTTATTCTTATGCCAACTCCCAAACACAAATATAGACCATATTTATAAGGACACTAATAATAAAAGAAAATAATACTGAAAACAACCATAGAAATGAAAAACTAATGCATTTGATTTATGCTAGAACAGATTTATAACAGTCTTTGGAATGAAATCCAGTCATAAGTTGGAGGACTTGCTGTATATATTAAAAGTGCCCATTTCTCTTTATTTAAACTTCTTGCATGCTGCCTGCATCTCTTACCTGAAAAATATTAATACCATCATATTTGCCTCCTTGCCTTTTCTCCTTTCATTTCTTAATTTCTTAACAAAAGCCAATTCTTAAAATAATATTAAATGTATGTTTCAAAACCTGTACTGTTCTACCCACCATGGTCAATGTTTTCCAGCTGAAACCATTTTCTAAATTTTTAGCTATTTCTTTGAAAATTTACCGACATGTTTCTTCTTGTCAATTGTAGACATATTGCTTAATTTCCCATTATAGAAAATACAAATCCGTTCACTTATTCATTTGTTTAAAACCTCCCATTTCCCTATTCCTTAATGGTATATCATGATGTTCAGTAATTTATTAGGGACTTCCAAACTCTATGTACTGGTAAGACAAATGTATACCATGTTATTTTTTTTTCCTTTTCTGTATCATTTTATGAAGGTAATACTAGCCAATTATTTTCACATGTTCTCAGTTAGATCTACACATGTTCCTATTAAATATATTCTTCAAAAATTCAATTTATTAAATGATCTTTTCCTCTTTCATTATCTTGAACACTCTGGTCTGGTGCTCTCTTTCCCCTGACGCCGGTCTAGGGTGGTTACTCTGTAGACCCAGTACACAGCTGTCCTGCTTAGACTTCCCTTTCTTAACTTCCTGTGTTAGATGCTGTTTCCAAGTTCTCTGTCTTTCTCTTTACTGTCCATTCTTTCCTTTTGTTTAGAAATTTGGGCTTCCTCTTTGATAGTCAAGATTTGAAGTTCTGGTATGCTGTAAATTATCTTTTTTTTCCTTTAAATTTTTCTTATCAATTGAATGAAGTATTACAGGCAAGATCATCAGCTTTACAGTCAACAAATCATATGCTTTGTTTAATTTAGATGATTATATTCCCTTCCACGCAACAATAGTTATCCTGCTTCTTCCCTGTGGTTCTTATTTGCCTTCTACCCAATTTCCTATCTTTTTCAACTTTGTTCTTAGGAAAATGTAGCCCTTTTGATTTGGAATGATTGACCATTCCATGGTGAGTATGCCCTCCTCTATAAACTTATCTATTCTGCTTGGCAGAAAATTGGACCATGAGAGTGAGTTCCTTTCCAAACCTGAATGGTGATTGAGGGTCACATAGTCTCAGGCTCCTCCAGTCTCTTTCTAATCAATAAACATTGTCTTTTTAAAACTTGTTGGATTATTTTAAGTTTTGTTCCACATCATCTTCCACTCTATTTGGAACCCTCTAATGTGATCTCTTTCAGAGCATTTGGTAGTGTCAGTCAGGTACCAACCAGTTCTTCTGGTCTCAGGGTCATGGAGACTGATGTTCACATGTTCCATTAATCTACTGGACTAATTGATTCCAAACCTCTTCTTTTTTCTGCACACGGAGAGACCAATAGCTGCACCTTAGATGACCACTCATGATCTTTCAAGACCCCATAGGCTACCCACCCAAGCAGGATGTAGAGCATTGTCTTTGTGGACTATTATGCCAAATGACCATATTGTTCCCTGAAACTATGGCCCTTAACCCCCAGGCTCATAAACTTATTGCCTTAGGTTGTTTGATAATATAAAGGATGTTTTCATCATTTTGCCAGCTGTATGTTCCAGCATAGCTGTGTTTGCAGGAAAGGTAAATGCTCATGTAAAAATAACTTCTTATAAACTCATATATTTGTGGGATATATAAATATATATGTCCCATCCTTCCTCATTTACCCATTCAGCCTGTGTCTCATTCCATGTAATTATGCACAGACCACTGTTGTTCCAAGGTTGTGTATACATCACTGTTTACCTCTCTCCCATTTTCTCTCCCATTTATCCCACACATGACTCTCTAAGTCATCCCCTATCTTCATTGTACATCTGCCACCCTCCCTCTTCTTGTGTATTGCCATTTCACACTTGCATATTGTCCCCCCATCACCTGAACTAACACGTGTCTACATTCTAGTAAGTGATTTACTCTTCCTGCCCTCTCACCTCTGATGACCATCAAAAAATGCTTCTTGTAGTATGGAAATCTTTTCTTAAGTTTTTGCAATAATGGTCTTTTACAAAATTTGTCCCTTTGCATTTGACTAATTTCACTCAGCATAATGTCCTTCACGGTCGTCCATATTATGAGCTATTTTGCAGATTCATTGTTATTCTTCAAGGTTGCATAGGATTCCATTGTGTGTATGTACCAATGTTTGCTTATCTATTCTGTCATTTATGGGTACTTAGGCTCTCTCCATCTTTTTGCTGTTGTGAATAGTATTGCAATGAACATCTGGTGTGTATATATCTACTCGATTCCTGGTTCATATTTTCTTGTGGATATATACCAAGTAGAGGAATTGCTGGGTCATAAGATATTTCTATTTCCAACTTATTGAGGAAGTTCCATACTGTTTGCCAGAGTGGTTGAACCATATTATACTCCCAACAGCAATGTAGAAGGGTCCCTTCACACCCTCACCAGCATTTGTTGTTTTCTATGTTATTGAACATTAATGTTAATGTTGGTGTGGGATGATGTCTTAGTGATGTTTTGATTTGCATCTCTCTAATGGAGTCCTGATTAGTCCGTATCCAGATCAGTTATGAGGTACAACGCTATCTGTGATAGGATAATATCCATGAGCCTACAGGGAAGCCCAGTAATACCACTATTATTCAAATTTACACACCAACCACTAAAGCCAGTGAGGATGAAATAGAAGAATTCTACCAATTTCTTCAATCTGAAATCGATCAAACATGCAATCAAGATGTATTGCTCATTACTGGTGATTGGAATGCAAAGGTTGGGAGCAAAGAAGAAGGATCAGTAAT